TCTTCTCCCTGCAAACACCTGCCTGGGCAGCTCCCTCCTGCCTCATCCCTCCCAACTGGTCTAAATTATCCCCATCTGATTAAACTATGAACAACACCTCAACGTTTAAAGCCCCCTGCTTCTATTTCAGTTCTGAGCAATGCTTTTTTCCATCTCTCAGTTGGTATGATACAACTTAGGGCCTCCATATGGCATACTAATCAAATTGCAGTTAGTAACATTTGTTTCCTGAGGTTTAGTGCGTGTGCTGAATGTCTTGAATGCTTTTCTGACGTCGTGAAAACTCTGTGTTGGCACCCGTTTGTTATTTTTATAGGTAAGCATCCCTCCCTTTTTATTTGAAGCCGTTCTGTATGCTCCTATTGATGATACAAGCAGCACAGCCAAAATTGAGAATGGAAACATTTTCTTCACTTTGTATAAAAAGGAAATGGGCATGTGGGATTCGCTGACAATCGAAAATGGTAAGTTCTCTCTTGTGAGGAGTAAGTTATGTACAAAGAACCAAAGCTATGTCAAAACGCCTTACAGAGAGCTTGGAAATTCACTGCTTTCCTAATTATATTATTTGATCTAAAAGATTGCTACCTTTACCTATGCAGCTGGCTTTGCATGTGTCATATCAGTAAATCTCCAAAAGTTTATGAACTCTAACCTGTCACAAAAACATGGTGTCAGTTGAGGATCTTGTATCATACTGCATCTTTTCCGAGTTGCCTGCCAGCACTTCAGGAAAATTGCAGGTGATATTTCTAGTCTTGCCAATTTCACATTACTAGCTTTTGTTGTTGTTCCCAGCTAGCAAGGAAAAACTGCAACATCTAAGAGAGAGTGCTGTTCTAAAAGCCCAAGAAAAGGCTAAAGAGGAGGCAGAAGCAAAAAAAGTTACAAAACAGGAACATAACAAATATGCTTTGGAGGCCACGATGAAGGTAAGCTTATAAGTGCCTCTATCAGACGTGTAAATGTGAGGAGTTGCCAATGTGGCAGATGTTTGATCTTGGAATGAGGATTCTATTTTGCATCTGAGGTTCCAGTCCATGCAGTGCTCGTCTTTATTATAGTAGTGGGGTATCGTCTTTGTATTTGAAACATGAGAATAATAGGAAAAAAATACTTGGCAGTTGACACACTTTTGCTAGTGATGTCATTGAAAATTTTTGGTGAGAAGCTCTGATTTTTGTCAGCTGGGAAGAAAGTACACTGATTTGGTAAAACTAAAACTCTTTTGTGGCCTTTGCAGTAGTAAAGGTAGTAGTAGTAATAAAGTTATTTGTCACTGAAAAATGCATTAAAAAATCTTCTTTAGTCATTTCATTTATGTTTAAAAAAATCAGAAGTAATAACAAGCTTTTAAGATTGCATATGCAGAATTATTTTGACCAAGAATGAAATGCAGCTATTGATTTTGGTCAGTATAAAGGTGATAGCTATTCTATGTATGTGCTAAGATCTTTAAAGTGAAATGGGGTGGGATTTGCTTTGGGAAATAACAAATAGTCTGTTAAAATGAAGCTATATATTATACACCTGGGTATATTCCAAAGATCCTGAGCCAGAATATGGCTAGGATACTGAAGCAATCTTCTTGCTCAGGAACAGTACAGTGTAATCTTCTAGGACCACTAGTGATTAGGGCCTCTTAGGAGGTTTTTGATAGGTTCCTTAGTTAAGCAATCATATTTTTTGATAGAACTAGTGCATGATTCAAAGGCAGGAAGAGCTCAATATCAAGTGTTATAAAACAGGTAAAGTAGGCAGGAAGTTTTTTTTTTTTGTTGTTGTTGTTGTTTTGTTTTGTTTTGTTTTTTTAAAAAAAGTCACAGAATAAAGGAGCTATATGGACAGTTTTGTGTGTTGAACCTGAAATGAAGAACTTCTGAGGTGACAGAAAAACCTGCCAATGGTTTTCCTAATGGGATATGTTTTAATATTCTTTAAAATGCAAGTAAAACTTTATTTCTGAATGCTTCTAAATCATATCACTAGTAGCAGGGGTAAAATATATAATAGCTTAGAGAAAATCTTTCCCATTTATTTTTCAATTTTTTTAATAACTGAGATATAATTGCATTAATGATTATACTGGACTTGGCATATGAAACTGGGAAATAATGGTGTCTTTTATTCAGTTCTCTTATTACTAGATATTACATATCTTAGTTTTATCCTACAAACAGCTAGAAGAAGAAGAAAGAAAAAGAATTGAAAATCTGAAAGAACAAGAGCGGCAAAAGGTCACTAGGGAATTGGAGTTATGGAAAAATGAGCAAACATATATGGAGGAACAAAAGAGGATACCAAGAGAAGAGAAACCACATCAGGAAATAGAACAGTTAAAGGAGAACCAAAAGGAAAAAATAACCAAACCTATGATTCCTAATGAAAGAACTTCTAAGATCACAGTAAAACCTACTAAAGGTTGTATTTTTTGTCATTCTTCAAGGCATGATGTAACTTTATTCCTGCGTGATTCATGTTCATTATTTATCTCTGTCCATATGCCATACTGAACAAATTATTTTGGTTTGAGGGTATTTTTGTGTGTTTATTTTCTGTCTTTTTATTGAGCTAAAGCATGTGAGTTCTCGGCTTTCTTTTGAGTCATTGGAAATATGGGGACAGGTTTTGTTCCAAATATTGGAAAAGTAAGGCAGAAAGCATTTCTAACAGTGTAACAGTCTCTCTGAAGGTGGAGTTCATGTTACAGATGAAATATCTTCTAGTTGCCACATAAAGAAGTCTCCTTTTGTGTTGCCACATAAAGAAGTCTCTCTAGCCCTTATCTTGGTACACAGAGAGTTGATTCAGGAAGTTAAACCAACAGAAAAATGTTAATTTTTGTTTTGTTTTTGTGTTTTATTTGTTTTGGTAAGTTTAGTTTTAACTGCTGAACTTGTCTCACCAACAAATGCGAGAGAAATTGATGTCACAGGAATTTTGGTTCACATGTGACAGATACTATAGCCTGTAAATAGGTTGTATAAAACAGTAAAAACAAACTTTCTAAGAATCTTTTCTTCAAAGAACAAATTCAAACTTGTTCTCAAACAACAGCTTGATGTTTATTTCCAATGGTCAGAATGCTAACTTAGGTATACTATGGAATTTGATAGAAAAATAGGGGAAAAAACTCTTTTGCTTTATTTTTAATTTCTAGTACTCTAATTCTCTTTGTAGGTCCTAGTTCCAATAGTATGTTTTCAGAGAATTTAAAGGAAGAGCAGTTACCAGCCCCTCGATCATCTGGCACAATTAAAATCAACTTCACATCACGGGCTTTTCCTACAGCTCTACGTGAATCTCGGGTAGCAGAAGAGGAAGAGGTAAGAATTTACCTCTGTTTTACTGTGATTCTAAATTACTTAAATTGCTATTTTATTATTTAAGTAAATTATTTTGAATCTAATTTATTTTTACCAAACTTTTTATCGTGCAGGATAATAAATAGCATATTCTTATATTCTTATTGTTTGAAAAAGCAAACACTATTAGTTGAAGTCCATTAGGTACAAGTTTTCCATTAGATAAATCTTTGTTCTTGTGTTTAAGCTTCTTTAAGGTCTCTCTTTTAAAAATAAATAAATAAATAAATAAAAAATCACAGTTATTTCTGGTGAACTCTACAGCGTGAACACAATTCTGCTTTTGGAAGTTCCAAAACAAACAAGCAAACAAAAATGTATCTGCTATGCAGTAAATTTACTTCACTCACAGCAGTAAGGTATTCGGTGAAACTTGGAGCTTTTCGTATTTCTGTCCAAGACTATGTAGCAAAGAGAATAATTTTGGTAGGAGTGATGAACAAATGAAAGCAAAATACTTTATTTATTTATTTTTTTTTCTGCAGAAGTAATATATTCATATTGTTACTTACAGTGGCTACATAAGCAAGCAGAAGCTCGAAGAACAATAAATGATGATTTAGCTGAGCTGAAAGATTTAAAAGAAGAGGAAAAAAATCCAGATTGGTTAAAAGACAAAGGAAAGTGAGTTAGACTCCATTTGAAGATACATTTTAAATCGTATATATTAGTTACATAGAATGTGGACGTTGTTCAGTTACGAGATTTTCTATTTATCCCAGACACAGATGGATGTCTACATAAGGAGAATTTATTGATAAGGTGTAGTGTTTTAGGCCAATAGAAAGTCATGAGGTCCAACTGGTGAACTCGTGACAGACAAATTCATTGTAAGCACACAATACACATTTTAATATCAGGAGAGTTAATTAGTGGAAAATTATACTTAGACAGATTTTCTTTCACTGCTTTTTTATTATGGAGAATTTTAACATCTATTTAAAACAAGTTTCAGGGATGTGATGCAAATATTGCTCTGGTTATATAGCTGTGTTATACAAAAAGGTTATATTAGGCAATCCAACCTTTTTTTTTTGTTTTTGTTTGTTTTCCCAAGTTGGATTTCTGTATCCTATATTGTCAGCATTATATTTTACTGAATTTCTGATATGTTGAAAAGATTAGAAAATGGTCATTTACAATGAAAAACTGCTTAAATTTTAAATTTAAAAATACTGAATTGTTAATAAGCAAATATTAACCTGGTGATGTTGCACCTTATTTAAAATGTGTGTTTTACTTTTTGTTATGCACTTAGCAAAATGTTTGCAACAGGAAACTATCTTGCAGCTGTAAATGCATATAACCTTGCAGTCCGGCTAAACAACAAGCTTCCAGTACTATATCTGAATCGTGCTGCTTGTCACCTTAAGCTGAGAAATTTACATAAAGCCATTGAAGATTCCTCTAAGGTATTCATATACCATACAGCGTTTCCAACTGTTATCTTATGATCTAAATAGCTTTTAAAGTCAAAATTTTAAATTCAATATTGAGATTATGAGGCTACTGTGAAAGAGTAAAATTTGGCATCAAGTAAGTGACTAGTGAAATTTCAGAATTATTTTAAAATAAATTCCCTGAAAATTGGTGCTGAATGGAGGCATGTTGGTGCAGTACCAATTTCCTTACAAGAAAATAATTGTAGGGATATCTACACTTGAAAACAAGACTACTTGCAGAAAAAAATACACCTTATGCCCAAATATATTTGGCAATAATTGTGTTGTTCATTTGGTGGACGAAAGAATTGGGAAGAAAGAAACAAGGTGGTAGTTATTAAAAAAGATACCTAAATTTCTTCCCCTACCTCCTGCAAAAACAACCAACCAAACACTTTTTTTAAGACGTGGTGGGATCATCTCTATATTTTGGCAACTATTATTTATGGAGTGATAAAGTAGAGTGATCTCAGGTGGTACCTGAATAACTTAAGAAAACTGTCTGAAAGTTACTTGAGACTTGAAATTTTCTCCTTCTAAAAAGTGCTAGAAAGTGTGAGCTTTTAAAATACTTTGTAGTATGGTAGGTAATATCATATTTGTAAACAGAATAAATTAGTTAATTGTAAATCACACTAAAATGGTATGTGCTGTCTTAGTCAAGGCAGCGACATTATATCTACAAAATTACAACTGCAGGGTGATGGATACACACTTAGTGACTAGAATGACATGGAATATATTAAATCCAAGAAATATTTTTTAGATGAGAGAATATACACAAATGAGAAAAGTCAGAATATAAGAAATCTGCTTATATTTATTTTGGGCATTTTTATCTGTGAAGGCACTAGAATTGTTGACACCACCTGTTCCTGATAATGAGAATGCTCGAGTGAAAGCTCATGTGAGACGTGGAACAGCATTTTGTCAGCTGGAATTATACGCTGAAGGTAATATGCTGAATTTATGAACGTTTATGCATTTATTTATGCACTTGTGAACACTTATGCATGTATTTTGGATAGCGTATGAAAGTAATTCTATTAAGCTCAGACTGATTAAGACTGCTCAAGATTTCATGTACTATTCCTTCCTCCTCTTATATGCTTTCATAAACTATAGTTTTCACAATTTCTGTATTCCTGTTTTCAAGCACTTTCATTCTCTCCTTATTTTTTTTTTGTTTTCTACAGAGCACTTTTTAACACTCCCTCCATCCATAATTCCCTTATCCTATACTTCTTTTATCCTTGATGTATGGCAAATGTTCAGTATGTTTATGCTTTAATTTAGATTGTGATTCTGATACAGAATCAGTTTGATTGGACTGCAGTGCATTTCTTAACCAAATGGTATGCCTCCCACTATTGCAAGAGCAGCTCTGCAGAGAGGGACCTGGGCGTCGTGGTGGACGACAAGTTGACCATGAGGCAGCAGTGTGCTCTTGTGGCCAAGAAGGCCAATGGGATCCTGGGGTGCATTAAGAAGAGCATCTCCAGCAGGTCGAGGGAGGTGATCCTGCCCCTCTACTCAGCCCTGGTGAGGCCGCATCTGGAGTATTGTGTCCAGTTCTGGGC